TGCACTGAGCTCCTCTCTCCTCTCGCAGGTTGCCATGGATCGTGGTTGACATGCACTGCTAATATTATTGTTATCATCATTATTATTCATTATTCATCATTATTATTATGGCGGTTATCATCATTATGGCTGTCATCATCATCATTATTAGTAGTAGCAGTAGTCATATTCCTACTATTATAGTTGTTTCTGTTGCTATTATTGCTGTGCATTTGTGCGTCTCTCACTCTCTGTCTCTGTCTTTCTCTCCCTCTCTCCCGTCTCAGCCATCAATAAATCAAATGTTGTGAAAAAAACAAGAAATAAATCTGGTATCTGTGTCTGTGGCATGCCTGTAATAGGCCGAAGCAATAACATTTTCGGATAGATACTCGCAGCATTTATGCTAACCGCTTTAGCAGCCGTCATTGTTGTTTTTGAGTAACTAGTCACTGCTCAGACATGTCATCACACACACCTAGTGTTAAATCACGCCTATAGTTCTACGACGTTGCTGCCACTCTGTTCCTCAAAGCAGGCCAATTGGTCCAGTGCCACTGTGGTTGGACACAAATTCATATATAGCTTGAAGCCTGGCAAGATGGATTCTCGTGTGATCTTGGGATTTTGTGAGTCTACCTGCCTTGCAAGGTTAGTGTTTTATTGCAAAGTTAATTATAAAAGGACTAACTATTTTTATTTGAGAGTTGCATCGCTTTAAAGCATTCCTTGAAAAGCTTCCAAAGGTCACTTCTTTTTAGGTTGCACACCCTGAAATCACTAGTAGAGTTATGTTAGTTTCACTTGACAACGTGACTGGAGTCAGCTGGAACTTGTTATCGCCACAGCATGGTAGCAAGGTATCAGCTCACAGTTTCAGCAGGCAGGCATATACAGGCAGACAAACTGTACAATAAATACAAATTCACAGTATCGCTAGGAAACAGGGAGAGCTGCAGGTTCAGAACAAGACTCATAAATGCAGGGGAACATTGTGCAGTTTCCCTGCTCCACTGACTTGACTTGGTAATGAACTTCCCCAACATTCCCTGATCCTAATTAAAGGGACAAAGATAATGTAAGACAAGAAGACTATATTCAAGAAAGAGGGAAAGAGAAGATGCAGCAGCATGCTGTGTGAGTACTGGAGGATGTTTTCACCGTTGCATACATTTTTTTTGTTGAGCCAAAACATTTGTTTTTTAGAGTGTAGCTGGTTAACATAGTGGAGCGTATAGATGCCAAAGAGCCAGATATTTCCCTCAGGAGCTCAATGAGGAGATCTAAAAGGAGAGTGGACACTCAAAAATGGGGTTAGGGTTAAAACTTTAGTCATATTAACTTTATGAGGTGATAATATGACAATGTTTGTTTACAGCTACGAGCTACTCCAAAGTGGCTACAATAATAAATAAATACAGCTTTTACCATGAACATTAGTAATGTCATAATATACTTATAGTGATTGTGGTAACGCATTACTTGTTATGGGTCCCTCAGGAAAAATACAGAAAGGTTCTGAGAGACTTGAGTTGAGTAAGTTGTGTTTATTTCATGAGGAATGTCTCTTACCTTTAGTAACACAGTTTTTTATTTATTTATTTATTTTTTTACTAATGGATCCACAATGGATCTAAAGATAACACAGTCAGACCGAGAACATTTATTTCCAATGCGTATGGCGAGGGAGCTGTATGCAGCTGTGGTGCTGATGTACATCAGAGGATTTTAGTGGGAAGTGGGAGGCGGGCCTCTCCAGGGGGGGTCCTAAGAGTTTCAGGGGAAGCATGGGGAGGAATGGAAGTGAAAAAATAGTTTTTTTAGTTAGTTATCAAAAGGAGATCACATAGAATAGCCTAAATGTGTGTGATTTGGTCAAAGGGAGTTGAGAAATATTGCAGTTTTGGGGGATTTGGCAGATATTTTTATGTATAATTGGCATAGTCTGAAGTTATATTAGTTATAAAAGGCTATCTTTGCTCAATTATTGAGTGTTAGATCAAATAAAAACCATGATCCTATAGGCATCCAGGAATAGAGCGAAACTAAACTAAACTAGTAAACTAAAGGGGGGTGGGGGGAGCCTTTTTCCAGACTTTGTCTGAGGGAGGCCCAGAGTCTCAGTCTTTGAAAAGCCCTGATATACAGATTTTTTTCACTCTGTTATGCGTTTCTTACCATCGCCATTATATTCAAATTGCTGTATATCACATCTTGCAATATCTTTTTTAGAATATGTTTGCAATGATTGATTTTTCTGTCATCGTTGCAGGCTATGTATAGAGATGTATACCAGGGAAATGCCACGACATACTCTCAGACCACAACAAAGTTCAACATTTACTTAGGGAATAAACTGACATTGGCAGGGAAGCAGCAATATGTGTCAGAGCCTGAGGGAAAACCAGTGGAACAACACAGAAAACTGTGCTGAGCTGCTTCACAATCGACCCCCCTCTCCTGTTTTTTTGAAATAGTTGTATCTCTTTCTGTGGCTCTCACCATAAAATAACCATTGTTAAAGTATATTTCACCCCAGCATATATATTCTTTCAACAGATGTATCTTCATGTTGTGTGGTGTACATTGTTGAGTGTTGTGTATTACTTTGCAAACCTGATGTGCTTTCGCAACACTGCACTTAATTATGGTCATGCTAATAAAGCAAATTTGTTTTGCATTGAGGGGGGAAACAGCTCGTCTGTAGATTAAATCATGACAATATGAAAGCCCTTTAAATCAAAACTAAATTTCTTAGATTTAAAAGAAACCACCAACTGTCCTTGTGAGCCATTACCAACCTGCCACAACACTGCTACTCCCAGCTTATTTTGGGATTTCAAAGTTAGAGAATACTTTTACCAAAGTGAAGAATAATCAAATCAGTAACTTAACAAAAAATTTGATTATATTGTAGTTAAGTGTGGAGCCCACAAAACAGGGGCACTTCCAAAGGGGGGGCTTGGGGTGGCACTGGTCACCCTTGAAATCTGATTGGTCACCCCATTATCCTCATCTCTTCTTTGTTTTAAAGCTAGTGAAGATACTGGTATCATCATTATGCTAATCCCATGCAGTTTTTGTATGTGGTATAAATTAAGTTATTTTGGCCTAGTGTATTTGAATATTTCTGCAGACTGGGGTCCATAAACAGTGTTGGAATTGCATAAATTAGGAATGATTGGAAAACTGAGACACATACTTCATGCCACCCCTGCATAAGTCAGTGTCCCTCTTGTGCCAACCCAGTTAAAAAAGTCTAGAAACGCTCCTGCCACAAAAATGCAGCCGTGGACGTTGTACCATTACCAACCTCTGCGTTGCCAAAGGAAGAAAATGAGAGAAGTTCCCTCAACCAGCTGGTCATGAGGCTCCCTTACAGCAGACAGCATGTAGAAAATGTGTACCAGCCCCCAGACATCTACACCAAAAACTCAAAGTAAACTTCGACGCTGTTTAGCACTGAACAGACAAGAGTGGTAGATTATGTGGGCAGTGTGAGCAATCAGAAACTGAGACATTAATCAAGTGGGACTGAGTGACCACACAAGTGATCACAAATTGGCCGTTGACACTAGTTGTCACAGAAAAACCTGGCAACCCGGAGAAAACAGACTGAGCCCATTCTGCCAATAGCAAGATGCAGAGACACAGCAACACTTCCTGAAACACTGCAGTCCATATAATAGAGCTTTTCCGCAAAATACAACTCCAAGAACACTCTGACACTCTCAGATTGAAAGAAAATATTTTTTTTGAGAAAGGCTCTGTCTGTCCGTACGTCATTTTTGAGGTCAAATGGCCTTGACAACAGCACAGATATCAGATTAAAAAAACTGTAGCAAACTAGTTTACAGCTAGAATTTATTTAAAAAAAAAATATTTGAAAGAACAAATGAGTTTTTGAGATTTACAAATAATGCTTCTTTGCCAGATTTTTGTTTCCTTTCCAATTTTGCAGTAGCTTAGCCCTTGTAGACTGCTGCCTCAAAAAATACTGCTGGCAAAATTAGGACACAGATCTACACAAATGTATTCTACAGCTTATATAAGTGGCTCATTTATGGTAAACTCAATTAATCTCTGTATAAAAATAAGCATTTTTGAAAAATCTGCCAGCAGCTGCATAGCCCACTGCAAGACATACAATCCAGTTTTTGCTTTGTGCATTAGACTACAGTGGTGAGTGTTTTAAAGGACCAGTGTGTTGGATTTAGTGACATCAGAGGTGGATCCAGAGAAATATTAAAATTTACATTTTGAGCTGAATGTGTAGCTAGTGAGTCCGAAATCGAAAGGCTCATCATTTGGGGACCATGAATGTCCTCAGTAAAAGGACCAGCCTGTAGGATTTAGTGACTGTAGTTACTGATTGCAAACCCCTCGCGTGTAGTGGAAACTGCGGCAGCAACAAAATTCCCAATGATTTTTATTTTCAGGTGACTATTCATTAATGAAAACATACCTATGAATATTATGTACCATTCCTGCCATTAAATCATCCTAAATGTTACACACTGGACCTTTAAATCTGTACATAAATAAAACAAACAAACAAAGAAAACAACCCAATCAAATGAAATTTATAGTAAGAAAAACAAAGAAAGCATGTTGTGGGGTCATCTTATGCGTTCTTTAATAGGGTCCCTTGGTGAGTGTGCCATCCCCACCCCTCCACCCCCTTACATAAATTACAAGCCTTGTGCCACATTGTTTGCTGGTTGTGTATCTGATTAATGCACTGCCAATAAAACACATTGGAATTACAGACAGATAGATCTGTATATTTTCTGCTCTTGGCACAAAACGTGACAGGATAAAAAACGTCGCTCCAATCAGGCGCTTCACACTGATTGGTTCCCTACCACGCATGCAAAAGATACCAACCTGCCACAACACTCCAAGCTTATAACACTGTAGGCTTCTTGTTCTCTTACAATAAAGTTATCTGAATTCACAAAGGCATATATATATATATATAGTAAAGGTTGGAATTGCTGCTGCGCACTTTTCTCTGTGGATCTTTGCTACTGTTCTGCATTTTATGGCCGTGCTTGGGCATCGCAATGCTCTTGTTCTGCCAATAAAGACTGAAACAGATAGAGAGTGAGAGAGAGAGAGAGAGAGTGAGAGAGAAAGGGAGAGGGGAGGGCTGTGCCTCGCAGTGAGAGAGAGAGTGTGGTGGTGGGAGCGGTCTGCTCTTCCTCATCAGACTCCTTGTAACCCTCCGTGCTGGAGGAGCGAGGAGGAACCTCTCCTCTGTTTGTTTTGCCCTCTCTCTGCGGACGCACGGATAATACCACACCACGGCTGGGAAGATGGTTTTTCTGCTGCTGCTGCTGCTGCATATGCTTACCCTTTACACTCTGAGCGTCTTTAGCGGAGCATCCGCCGCTACTCACTGTGAGTATTTCACCTACAAGCTCACCTGTAAGCTCCTCTCCTCTCCAGTGAAAGCCGCTGTGCGCAATCAGACAGGAGCTGTTCGAACCGGGCAAGTTTTTACGCCTGGCTGGTACCTTTGTCCTCCCGGTGTTGCGTTGGGAGCATCGTGACTGTAAAAGACGCAGCTGTTGTTGGTCATGTGAATACTTTGTCGAGGTTTCCTCTGTGTCAGTATCATGCGGATGAACAAGTTGTTGATACGTCCTCGCCTGTGTTTCGATGAAGGTCAAGCAAACAGGTTCATCTCTGTTCATTCACAAGTGTAACGCAGTGTGGAGCGCCTGCGCTCACTCCGCAGCCGCAGGTTCCTGGCGCACACACACTTGATGTGATATTTTTAAAGAGTGGGTCTTTGGACATGTTTTGCTGGTGTGTGTTGAAGAGAAAACTGCTGACTGGTCACAGCTGTAGTGCACAGACGGCTGCTGTTATTGGTCCACTCCTACGTGAAAATACCACACACGCGCGCGCGCACACACACACACACACACACACACACACAGCCTGCTGAAGACAGATTGCTTCTCCCCAAGGGTTGTCATTTTAAATTTGGAGCCAGGACAGTTTTATATTTGTGTTTAATTGGATGAGTGGTTCCAATAATGTGTCTGTGGATTTATGGAGATTAGAATAATTCTGATAAACCATCCGTCATTTAAGTCAATTTCCAAGAATAAATGACCAAAGTTCACTGTGTTCAGCTCCTCGGATGTGTGGGCTTCTGCTATCTTTGGTTTCTGCTATCAACTGAATATTATTGGGGTTTGACTAGGACAAATCAAGCAATCTAAAGGAAGATTTTGGGGAGGGTTGTACGTTTTTTAAATATTGTATATACCGAATAATCAATGGTAACTCAGTTATCTAATAAACATTGTGCACACTGTAGACATGTCTATGTTAGCTATAGAACCTATGTTTTTCATTTAACCTTGTTGCAAGATTTCCTTTAGAAATCTGCAGCGGGAACAATGAGCAGAGCTTACATCCATAAATCCGCTCTTCATACCCAAACTGAAGACAAATCGTGCAGACATTGATAACTATTTATATGAAAAGTGTTTTCCTGATACACACACTGGGCTCTTAGCTTAGGTATTTCTAATATTTGGTCACATAACAGGAAGTTATGTGTGTTTTCACATGAAATGTGTGTTTTATAAAGAAAATGAGGTAGATGTCTTGAGTCACCGTGGCTGAACAAAAACACACTCTGTGTTCCACGGTTTACTCAGGGGTCAGGTTCCCACAAGGTTTCCCGTGGATATCCCTGCCCACCTCTCCCCTTATACACAAAATCCAATTTGCGGATTGTCAAAATGTACCGATTTAAAGGTCCCGTGTGTAACGTTAAGGAGGAACTATTGTCAGAAATGGAATATAATATTCATAGGTATGTTTTCATTGGTGTATAATCTCCTGAAAATAAGACTAGTTGTGTTTTCGTTACCTTAGAATGAGACGTTTTTGTCTAAAGAAGGAGTGGGTCCTCTTCTACGGAGGCCACCATGTTGAACCACCATTATTCTACAGTAGCCCAGAATGTACAAATCAAACACCGCCTATAGATGGCCTTTTGCGAGTTTCGCTGCCACCATAGTTTCTTCCACACGCTTGATTGGGAGGGTGAGGCAAGGACGTTGCCATCAGTAAATATACTGCTAGATGCCTGTAAAGCCTTCAGTCCTTTAGGACATTCATACTCCCTAGAGAATGGACCTTTCAATTTTGGACTCTCTACCTTCCCTTTCAGGCCAAAACATAAATTTTTGCACACGATTATATAATCTAATTTAAAACTATAATCTTAAAGTCATATTTCAATGTTTTCTGGTGAGCACATTCGTTCATTCTCCCAAGGCAATACAATTTTTTGATGACAATCTCTCTAGCTGTACTCTTTGGACAAAGTTTTCATTTCTAGCCGGATAAGTCATCAGTTTAGTGTTCATGTCATTTGTGTTGTGTAATGTATAAATCTTGTCGTGTTGAAATTTTAAAAAGCGATTCCCAACAGTCAATGAATATACCAGAGGCATGACTTCATGTGATCTTTTTGTTTTTGAGCATTACCGGCATGTGGTGGGTTTTAAGCAGTTCATGTTAAGGTGAGGAACTGAGCTAAACTAAGCTGCATTACTCATTTATGACAGCCCTGTGGTTCTCAAATGTGTGCAGTGATCAGCTCTGACGTGCTGTGCTGAGATGAAATGGTGAGATGTTCCTGGAGGTCAAAGAGCTGCCTTCATACTTACCGCTGAGAAACCAAAGGGAGGGGGGCAGAGATGTGTCATGGCTGGTTTGTGAAGCCACTGTCAGGCGGCAGCCACTTCCTCTCAGAGGTCCGTCTGCACTTTCTCTGGCTTTTCAGACAGACAATGGCGAGTATATCCTTCAGTAAGAGTTCATTGATTCTGTATTGGTGTGACCTTTACGCTAATGGCAATATAACTGTCAACAGAGGAGCTATTCACAAATGTACGGAACATTCTTATTTTTCTTTATTAATTATTGTATTAACGCAGTAGAATACAACTTTATCATACAAAAGTGGAATGTTTCTCGATAGGAAACCACAATGAGCTCCCTAGCAATTATATCATAGTAAAAGTGAGAATGTTCATATTTCTACAGATTTTACTGGCATTATGTTGACCACTCTAGCTAAAGTGGTTTTATATTAGTAACTAAGGTGCCATGCCAGGATGTTGAATTGTTAGGTGGCACAATAAGTCTGGAACATTCTGGCTAGCACCAAAGCCATGTGCATTACTACAATACTGAGCAAATTAGATAACCTTGGTCAGTAACAAGTAGTGTAAGGTATTTCAGTTCAGTTTGAAATGTATTTATTACTTTACATTTGGAGGTATGTCTAAGAATTTGCCACCTGTTGAATTCATACTTCAAACAAATAGGTGGCAGCATATCAGCAAAAAGTTAAGCTGCCGTTAGCTATAGTTAGCTTAGTTAGCCATGCAGCTAGCAGTCCTGTTAGCTGACTCTGCCTGTACTGGAAGGTCGGAGCACCAGAGTGTTGGTGTTTACACCTCTAGCACAGGACATTGGGACCACCATGAGGAGAAGGTTTTCAGGCCAGGGGCAGGACGGAACTCTTGCTGGGATGTTGGCCAGAAGCAGTGACGGATTGGGCACCAGAAATGGAGCCAGGGTGAGCGGACAACTGAACTGGGCCAAGACCCACGAAGGCCAGTTGACGACAGTGGCTCTTATCGGACCTCGACTCAGGGGACAACGAAGACATGGCTTGTTCAGGTGGGGACAGGAGAGGCATGAAATTGGAGAGGAGTGAGAGGACAGTCGGGCCAGGAGCCAAACTTCTAAAACCACCTTGATGTTGTTAGACTGATGGCACACTACGCACAACAGTGACTCACTATCGCCTCTTGAGGTACAAAGTGGTATTACGAGACTCGGCGGGGCTAGCTGGTTAGCATGGTAACTTCAGTAGATAGCAATGCAGCATAATACATAGATGTCTTACGTTTTAAACTAAAATCTGCATCTTTAACCCAGTTACTAAATATGACATTTTTGAGGTTGATTGTCCGGTCAGGAGTTGGATGGTAGGGTTGGAATCAGTTTTGTCTTGGTGCATTCAGTTACCAGCCTAGCTAGGGAACTAGGACTTAGCTTAGCTTAGCTTAGCTTAGCTTAGTTTAGCTTGATAACATCAAACTGTAACATCAGGCTAGCTGCTTGATAAACTACAATGTCTTGTTTACTGTTTCTACACAACTTTAAGGAGATGTGGGGCAGCTTGTAAACTGCTCTCTAGCGTAAAGTAATTAGTGACTAATACTTTTGCAGTTGAGTAATTAGTGAGTTAATGTAATTACTTTATCAATTAGTATTATATTCTGAGTAATTGATTACAGCAGTTCATACATATGTGCATCCCATGGTTGCAACTAATGATCATTTTCCTTATTAATCAGTCTGATAATTATTTTCTCGATTAAATGATTAATCATTTGGTCTATATAAAATGACATGAAACAACAACAACAACAACAACAACAAAAACGTCTATTTTCCAGAGCTCAAGATTATGTCTTAAAATGGGTTGTTTTGTCCAGAAAGTCTAAAACCAAAACATATTTAATTTTCTATAATATGAGAGAAATGTAAGTGCCAATTAACTGACTAATTGTTTCAGTGCTAATGTACCTAGATATTTGTATCTACAGCACATTTATCAACACGTTGGTTGTTGTCATATCCTGTTTGACAGTGCTGATGAGAATAATCCTATAATCTGTTTCACTTATGTATAGCACCTTTTTGTACACTGGAAAAACAGCACTTCTTGAAACAAGCCAAATATTCTTAAATATAATAAAAATGTCTTGTATTGATGGGGTACGACTTACTTAGAATTCTTAAAACTGGCATAAAAACCTAGCAACTGAAACACTGTAATGGACTTTAAAACCAGAAGAAATGTCAAAAATGTAAGCAAGTTGTGCTTACTACAAGCAATGAAAAAGAAAAGAAAAAAATAAAATAAAATAAGTATTTTGGTCGTTTTATTGAGCTGAATTTAAAAATGTGTACGATTATTAGTAAAAAAGATTACAATAAGACACAATTTCTTCAAATAGCATAATAAAAATGAGTGATTTTATCTTAAATGAAGGCACCATGAGCATTTTTTTTGTCGTTTTTTTAACAATGAAAAACTAAACAGCTGCTTCAACATACTACTTTCTCTTAAACTAAGAAGTTGTGCAAGTGGTCTTCCCCCTAAAAAACTGAAAATAATCTTGTTCCTCTGCTGGGATATTATGGAAACCATTGTTGTAAGTTGTTACTGGTTAAATCTAGCTCAATGTTAGCTGGGATATAAGACAAGGTTAGATATATTTTCTTAAAACCAGATTATCTTTCTAATGCAAAACCTGCTTTACAAGACTTTTTAGACAAAAAATAAGAAA